TAGGTGTGAATGTGAGTGTGCTTGGTTGTCTGTCTCTAAATGTGGCCCTGCGATGGACTGGTGACCTGTCCAGGGTGTCCCCTGCCTTCGCCCTAAGTTGGCTGGGATAGGCTCCAGCCCCCCTGCGACCCTAATGAGGATTAAGCGGTGTATAGAAAATGGATGGATGGATGTCAACTGTTTACTTGAACTATGTCCTGAAATACTTTAAGTGTAATTTTTCTACTTGACAAAGAAAGATAAACATGTGTGCTGTAAACACTAAGTAATCCTCCTACCTCTGAAGATATGAAATGAGAGGACAGTTTTAAGGCAAGCGGCCCCTTTTTTCAGGAATCGTCTGAAATGTGCAATGTTGGTTGAGGCAAAAGCAAATAATGGCTGTTTACAGCACAATGTTTGACCTCTGGTGAGCTTTATTTGTGAAACATACTCAAGTAACATGTTTTTGTGTATTAATTATGTTTATTTACTTCCATCTGGATCAGAGTTGTTATGTATGTTGACATCTGCAGCATCACTTTCTTATTAAGAATCAAACATGTTTCTTTGCACAGCCGACGAAAATGAATGAAAAATTAAAAAGACAAACGTTTTCAAAACTAGGTATGAAATGAGTTTATCTTCACATATGTGTTACAATGCATGGCTTGATCATCTATGTCAGAAAAAATACATAACAAATACATAATATATTATTGATAATATATCGACAAATAATGTGTCCTTATAAATCTGTGTTGTACAATATTATAGAACACGCTTTGCAGCCAAAATACCAACAGAAAAAGCACAAGAAAACAACTCTCTGTCTTGAGAACAGCATGTAAAAGACTCAGGACTGAGGTTTTAAATGAAATATGCTTCATAAATGTTTTTCTTTTTAAGACAGATTGATGTGCATGTAATAAAAACTTGAATCAACCAAACAACAGGCTGCTCTCTGGAGTCTCTTTCAACTGCATGAACATTTTTGGAGGTCGGGAAAAAACATCAATTTATTGCCAACCTTCAACATTATCTCAACAAATGATAACAGAAATATGTTATTTGTACAAAAATATAATGAAAACCACAATGTAAGAATAGTTGAGACACTTGCAAGGAGTAAAACAAAAGATGTTTTTCTAAAAACTTTTTAAATCAGTGTTAGTGAGTCCTTACTTCTAAAACGAGTTGCTGAGATTTAACAGCAAGCATAATGAAAAGATTAATATTAACTTTACATCAAATAAGTCTTGGTGTCACATCTGTGTTCGTGGATGTTGATAAATCTGTCTTCACTCAGATATCTTCTGTTTTTGCTTCTCCATCGCCTTCTCCAGTTCTGAAGCTTTACGTACATCCTGCAGAGGACACAAGATTTCATTTGATATTAACAACATCATAGAAGCATTTTTGTTGCTGATGTTTGCAAAATTAAAAAAAAACTGTAGTTGCTTCAAGTTCTTTGGTCATGTTTTTAACTTGTGTCTGTGCAGTGAAAGTCAAATTTAAAGATGCACTCTGTAATAAAATATATTCAATAACAGGGTAAAAACAACAATAAAACTGGATAAGCTGTAGATCAATGGACCACTGAACCATAAGGTACCCAACAGTTAAGATGCATTTTTATTTCTGTAAATTAAAAGCTACAGTGGCATTTAAAAAAAAAAAAAGTACGTGGTCACTTTTAGTTTACTGCAGTAAATGTTCATAAATGTGATGCAAACTCACAAATGTAGGCAAAGAATTCTGTATTTTGCTTTTGTTTACCTCTAGACAGAATTGCAAGAACACAAAATCTTCTCAATTGATATGATCTATATGAACCGATGAAATCTAATCTCTGATATTCATTTGTATCCCTTCTCAGCTTTATGCAAATCAGCATCGTTAAAATTATTGATCATAAGTTTTCTGAGAACGCTTTTTTTTGCAATGAAAGGTTCACATCAGCAGAAGCATTTTGCGAATAATGTATAAGTAAATCAAGTCCATACTTTTTTTTGTTGGTGTCATTAACCTCAGTGTCCACAAACAGTTTCCAACATACGCTGTGAATATGTATTGATTATGTACAGAAACAATACAATGAGTGGGTTACTTGATAGATTGTGTTTGGTAAAAATCATAACTCCAGTGAACATCTGACCATATTTCTAATAGTAATTTTGTACTTAAATGCAAATAATTCCAAAGGGTTTGCTTTTTCTTGACACTGTAAATAATCAATCTAGGTGATAGCAATGAGGCAAAGTGACGTACTGTCTGTGCACAAGTCAAGGTCGAGCAAACAAACGGCACATGAACCAAAGCATATTTATACAAACACACGAACGCAGAGTACGTTTAAAATCACGCTGGACAAACCTCAAGAAGGGCCTTCTGTACCATGATCTGGCTGTAAACTCTGGCGCCTTCCTCCGGCGACACCGTGCGGAGCTCCTCCTTATTTAGGGAGAACAGCTGGGCTCCAGTTAAAATGCCCAGACTCTGGATTGTCCTGACAAGAGGAAGCAACAAGATCAGACAGTCAGAGCTTTTAATAAAGATCACCGACATTCCAGATGTAAATATCTTTGACAAAAAGAAGAATCCTGTTGTTTAAAAAAAAAACTCCTTTTTTTTTTAGATTCACCTTTTAATCTCATTGTGGAAGTCTAACTTAGTCTAACCTCACAGTAAAGCTGCAATAGATTAAATATCATACATTGACAGCACTGGCACTTTAAATTCACATTGTGCAACCTGCACGTGCCTGAATACTGCACCATAACTTTTTTTCTTTACATTTCAGTGTAACAGCACTATCTTACAACTCAAGGCATGCAGTGCTCTTCCTCTGAATCAAAAAATCCAACACAGCTTAGTTTAATTTGCACACAACCTCTGCTGGACTTGTTGGATATAGTATTCCTTAACCTAGTGGGGCTACATGTGAACATATGGGTTCTACAAACTGGTCTACAAGCAGGCTGTCTCCAACACTCACTGCTGGCTAAAGCCCTTGGCGTTGAGCCAGGCCTCCACCTCAGCGGCCGCCGAGTGGTAGTTGAGGGGTGCAGAGGTGTCGGCTGCACGAGGGACCGCCAGTGGACGAATTGAGTCTCTTTTTTCTGCCAGCCGCTGAAGAAGCTCATCGTTTATTAACAGCACTGTACAAAGACACACACTTCAGAATCACATAGAGCATCACATCTCACATCACACTTATGGTGGTGACAACTTTACTCTTTCTATAAAGCTGTCATATACACATACACATGCGCAGTAGAAATCAGAAGTTTACATACACTGTATAAAAAGGCAACCTTTTTTTTTTCTCACTGTCTGACATTTAATCAGACTAAACGGTTCCTGTTTTAGGTCAGTGAGGATTACCAACATTATTTATATTTGCTAAATGCCAGAAAAATGAGAGAGAGAATCTTGCAGAGAATTTTTCACTACTTTCTTCAAAATCAAAAGTTTACATACTCTAAGATTAATATACCTTCAAACCATTTGGGAAGGCCCAGATGATGATGTCATGGCTTTTGGAAGCTTTTGATTGGTTAACTGACAACATTTGAGTTAATTGGAGAAACACCTGTGGATATACACGTCTGTGTTTGTAGACTTGATACATGGCATGTTTGGGTTTGTTACCTCGGCTATTTTCATCCTGCATTGTCGTCGACGGTAAGACCATGCTCTGAGGTCGCACCGTTGGGCTTGTAGCAGTTGGACTGGTCCCAACTGGACTCGTTGGTGCGTATGAGAAATACTTTGTCCGAGGAGAAATGGGTTTCTTCCGTTGTGGACAAAGCAGGAATTAGTAAAAAAAAAAAAAAAAAAAGACTGCATGAAACAAAATAAAAATGTCTCAGTGTAAACATAGTGCCAGTACCTTTGAGTCTCTGCGCACCACTGAGGCATCTTCCGCTGTGTTATTCAGAGCAGACAGAGGCTCCAGGATATTGAAGGGAACAAATCCTATCTGGTCAAAGCGATTCCGACACTTCCACCAGCGCTTCGACGATTCAACCACCTGAAGACAGAAGAGTCACATCACTCAAGTGTCTGCCTTTACATGGGGATCATCACTTGGAGGTGTGACTGTACCTCTAGTGTTTCTCCTTGTAGCACAGAAAGTTCGCTGCTGTTTCGAGCCACAAAGTCATAGCTGCAGCAGTAGAGTCTCTCACCCTCTGGTGGAAGCCCGTTTCCATCTCTGAAATAGAAAAGAGCAGATTTAACAATATTGAACAAAATATGAGAACTCCTGATTGCTGTCTGTCAGTTTTATTAACCGCCACATGTAATTTATTAGGCTGCTAATTAGTGCTGGCAGGAATTTGGCTGTCGTTGTCACTCCTGCTAATAAAACTTAATTATGCCTTGTTCTGTGAGCGTCTATAAACTCACACTTGATCAGTCTCTTCACTGGAAACCTCTGCTGTCTGTCGAGTCTGGTCCTGCACACTTTCCCTGTAAGCGTCCTGTTTGTGCTGCGACTCGATGGGATCTTCCAAAGGCTGGCCGGCTGAGTCATAGGCCTGAGGCTGCCACCCATCCAGGAAGACGGGCGAGTATGGAGGAACAGACACACCCAGGTGCGAGCTGAGGAAAAGAGAGGGTCCCTTTAGTGCCACAGTCTTTCTGTCAAAGCAGAGATTTACACCATAAACACACAGACCAGGATGAGGTCCAGTTGGTTCCTAATGAAGACCAGAGCTGCTTCTCTTCTTCAGTCAGATGCTCCTGCAGCAGTGAAACAGCACCACTGGTCATAGCAGGACTGAGCACTGACGCGCCGATCGCTGGTCCTCCGGTGGTTTTAACCAGCTGCAACAGAGAGAGTCACTGCAGCAAGGATCACAGAGAAACCATGAATGAAACATGTAGAAGTCTTACCAGCTTCAGCGGCACAAAGACGTGGTGCAGCAGCTCTGGAGCATCAGGCTGTGCGATGGATGACTTGAGACGATCCTGAATTAAACAGCAAATAGTGTCATTTACGTTGTCTGTGAAGATTCTCAGTCATCCAGGTCATGGTTATTCTCGTAGTTTAATCACAGCAACTGGACTTGGTTGAGTTTCTTGAAGACGTTTCACCTCTCAACCAAGAGTCTTCATCAGTTCTGACTGACTAGTTGGGAGTTCCAGATACTTCCTTAAGTTTGTGTTAATGGCTCCTTAAGGATGCAAGTATCTGGATCGTCCAACTAGTCAGTCAGAACTGATGAAGCCTCTCGGATGAGAGGTGAAACATCTTTAAGAAACTTAAGCTGCTACGATTAAACTACGAGAATGTAATTTACGTTGGTTTTTATCAAACTTTCCGCAGCGATTTCATACTTAGTTAGGTGTAATCTCACCAGCAGACAGAGGGAGTACTTGATTTTCTGAAAAAGGTCCACAAATTCCTCCTCTGGTGGAGGGGATGCCTTCAGGGTCAACAAATCATCTGCACACAGAGGAGCACAATCACAGCTACAACCAAAGCAACGTAATGCAGGACACATATGAAACATGGACACAGTGCCATTAAAAAACCCACCTGGAAGTTTTTAACCTTTCATTGCTTTTCAGCACTGAACCATGATTAGTGATTGCATAAATATTCACCAGCTTTAAAGTGACTCAACACCAGTGCAGCCAGTTGGTGCTACAAGTTACACAGTTATGAAATAGAGATTATGTAAGTGCAGCTAATGTGTCTCAAGTTATTGTAATGTAAAGACTGCTGTATCTGGAAGGACCACTCATTGGTGAGTCAGTGCTATTGGTTAGACCTACGACATGAAAATAGAAGAGCACTTCAAGCAACTCTGGGAAAAGGTCATTGAAAGCATAGTCACTGAATATCCCTTTGATTGCAATTAAATCCATCCATTAACAAAATGGAAGGAATATGTAACATACATAAATCTGTCTGGGGCAGGGCGTCCTCAAAAAACTGAGTCACTGTGCAAGAAAGAGGCTCATGAGGGAGGCCACCAAGACAGCTATGACTCCTCTGAAGGAGTTACAAGGTTCAACCGCTTCAGATGGGAGACTGTGCATGAAACAGCCGTTGCCTGTTCTTCATCAGTTGCTGCTTTGTGGGAGAGTGGCAAAGAAAAAGCCAAAAGTTGATGTTAAATCTGGACTAGAGTTCAGCAGAAGGCATCTAGGAAGCCCTGAATCCAACTGGAAGATGGTTCTTTGGTCTGATGAGATCAAAGTTGAACTTTTTGGCCATCAAACTAGACGCTATGTTCGGAGGATACGAAACACTGAAAATTGTCACAAATACATCATTCCCATTGTGAAGCATGGTGGCGGTAGCATCAGGATGTTTCTTGCCAGTAGACCCTGGAAGGCTTGCAAAGGTAGAGGGTAAAATGAATGCAGCAAAGTATAGAGAAATCCTGGAACAACCTGTTGCAGTCTGCAAGAAAACTGCAGCTTGGACAAAGTTTTGTTTTCCAGCAAGACAATGACCAAAAGCAAACGGCCAAAGCTACGTAGAAAGAGTTTCAAGACAACAAGGTAAATGTTTTGGAGTAGCTGAGTCACAGACCAGATCCCAATCCAACCCAGAAATTGTGGCTGGATTTTAAAAGGGCTGTTCACTCATAATCCCTGTAACCTGACAGGACTTGAACAGTTTTGTAAAGAACAATGGGGTAAATGGCAGTGTCCAGATGTTCAGGCTGATTGAGACATATCCACACAGGCTCAATGTTGTAATCACAACCAAAAGTGCATCTACTAAATACTGACTTGAAGGAGGCAAATATTTATGGAATGGCTTATTTGATGTTTTTTTTTTTTTTTTTTAAATTAATTATCATTACTTTGTAGAAATTTGTTTTCACTTTATCATCAAAATGTAAACGCTTGTCAGAAAAGCTTACTACACTTTTTTATTCACACTGAATTTTACATTCAGGGTCTGCAACAAGACGCAAGCTGCTAAGTGGAGGTTAATTAAGTATGTAATACCATAACTTGGGTAAAATATTTATACAATAAAACAGAAATAGAAAGGGCTAATAGAAATGTGACACAATCATTGTTCCAGCCTGTTCCAGCCAGCACACTCCTACAGCACAAAGCCACAGGCGATGACTAATAACACTCACGTACACCTTATTTAGTCTATCCCGGCAGCTACAGGCCTTTAACCTGGAAACACCCCAGTCATGTAGTCAGGCCAGTACGAGGTGAAAACATAGACAAGAATATTGAAGCTCATGCTTTTAAGTGGCAACAAACAAACAAACATAGGGCAAATTTTGCTGGTCTTTATTATGGATTCTCAAACAGGAGCCAATGTGTTTATTAAAAAAGTGCAGCAGGAATGTTTGTTTCTCCATCCACTTAAAGCCAGATGCACTGTCAACCCAAAAGAAGGAACTGGTTCTTTATCTTCCTGGACTGACTCAGCCCCAGCTTCAGTCACCTCTTTGTTATGCATCTAAAGGCATGCCTACTACGCTCAAGAATTTTCTGAATTACCTGAAGAAATGTTTGGCAACCTGCCTGTTGACTTGCTCCCACCTTGTAAAGAAGCGGTGCCGATATTCAGCCTTTGTCTAAAAGCTTCTGGCTCTACTCTTCTGCAACCTGCTGGAAGACTCATCTGCAGTCCTCCTCTGTCACCAAGACTCAAACCCACCCAACACAGTAGCTGGTTGACGTGATGGAAGAACAACTCTCACCCTCTTGGGCCTCCTTCTTCTTGCTCTTACTGCTCCTCTTCTTTTTCCTTTGGTTGAGGATACTCTGGGCCTCTGCTGTCTGCTGCAAGCGCATCATGAATCTCTCCACATCGCTGAAGCAGTGGTTCACAATCTCCTGAGGAACATTTCACATGTAATACATGTTTTAGCAAGTCTAGGAAATGCAGATAATTTAATAAGTTTAATTTAAAAACACAGTTTAATTTGCAGTTAAGCAACATTAAAGGAATTGGCATCACCATGAAAGCTAACAATTACAGTATTAATGCAACTTGTAATGCAATAACTATGAGATAACATTAAAATTGTCATGTTTAAGATTGATGTAAAGCATTAATGTGAAGAGGTGTTGATTTACTTGAACAGGCCAGTTACATGAAAATCTTGTAAAATGCAGTTAAATTTAACAGCTGTACCACAAACTGCAGACTAAACTACTATCATGAATTATTCCTGGATTACGGTCAACTGTAACTACTGATCAGCTAATGTTTGTGTGCTCAGCTCAAAGGGTATTCAAGACTGAGATCCCCTCCTTCATATGTACAATTTAAATTTAAAAATAATCTGCACCACCTCTTTATAGAGCCAATATTCTTTTTTTCCCACTCCTGTTTCAACATAGTTATTGTAGGGTCCCTAGTATTTGATGCTTAATTGTAATATCAGTGAATGCAGCTACATAATGACATAATTTCTCTTGAACAAACATCCCATACTTTGATTTTTTTTCAGTTTCACCTAAATATATTTAGGTTTTCTATAATTTACTCAAAATTAATAAATAAATTAAATAGTCTTTTGGCTCTGCATGTCCAACACTGATCCTGCCTCAACACACATGACTGCTGTGTTGTTTTTTTTTTTTAATACTTTAATTCAATATCATTTCTTATTTTGTTTAGCGCTACAGACAGACTCTTCCATGATAGCTCATCATTGTTTCTGCTGTGTTTCTCATATGCAGACATTGGTTTCTGGTTTCATTGTGCAGATATGTGGCTTACTGGCATCGACTTGATTGTCTTTGAATTTAAGATCGCATGGATAATTCATATGTTTTGTTTGTACTCATGCACAAAAAAATAACAATAAGAACATGTGAATTAACCTTCAGTACGTACCACTTCTCTTTCTGCATTCAGCAGCGATATATGATTCGACTCTGCACCTGCACCATTCTCTAAAGCAGACAAAGAACAAAATGCAAACACTTTAGAGAAACACTGATTCTGCTGCGTTAAGCTCAACATCTGCACAGAAATTAATCTTTGTGTCGATGATACATGCTCACAGATGAATTTACCTTTGCCGGAGTCTGTGAAGAGGGGCATCCCACCAGGAGGAAGCTGCTCACCTGGAGTGATCATGACTCGGACACCTGAAGGCTTTCTGGCAACTACCGGAGGTGGTCTGGACATCTGCAGGCACAGTGAAAATAAGCAGGTCATATGCATACCACTGTAAAAAAAAAAAAAACAACAACAATAAAATGTGATTTTACAGAAAAAATAATATAATTTTTAGTTTTTTATTTTTAACTGATTTTTCTTGTTTTCCAATAAAACAAGGAAAGGCCAATGGATTTACTTTTTTTCCCTGTAATTTTAGGTTTGACTCTGAAATTATCATCAATGAACAATAATTTAGGATTACATTCATATTATGTGGTTTCTTTAATAGACGATTCTTTGTGTTTCTACATATTTAACTGTAACTTTACATACAATTTTCAGTATTATTCTACAGATTTGTCATCATTTTCCAAAAGACAATGTAATAATTGTGGATTAACAGATATTTTTTTGTAATTTAAAGCGTGATCCTTAAAATTACAACTAATACCCAATATATTAGATTACATTATTATTCTGTTTGTTTTTTTAAGGCAATTTAATGTATTTTTTCATATGTAAATGTAATTTTACTCAAAATGTGATGTAATTTTACAGATCTTTTCTAATAATTACACTGCAGGAATGTGTATAAAATGACAGAAATGTGTAGTCATTATAGGAAATAATGTTCAGGTGCCACACTAAAACCTTCTGTGGGGAAATATTCACATTTATATGAACTTTTATGGGATTTTTCCATCATTCCTTCAGAACTGTTGTATCAGCCTCTTGTCAGTCCTCCTTTTTTATGTCTATTTTTTTTATTTTTTATTATTAAAACATCCAAATATAAAATCACTTAACGTAACAGATTTTGATTAATCCTACCTGCCTGACAGATGTCTTAACTAACTGAATATATTGATGGTAAAAATGATGAATGGAAGCTCAATGCTGCCACATTCCACAAGCTGTTTGCAAGAATGCTGAGTATTCTGTGTGCACACTCGCAGGCTTTCCATGCAGGTAAGTGACAGATGCACACTACAGGAAAAACCACTGTTACCAGATGGTATGCAGATGACAAAACCACCAAAGCTTGATAGACAAACTGCACCACTTGAATCAAAAAGTCAATAGATTACAGCTCGCCTTGGAGCTTTTCACCGTGACCTCTCCTCCTCCTCGTTTTTGTGCATTTCATTCTCAGCATTGGGATAAAGCAGTAAATGCAGCATAAACTTTTTCAAACAAATTCTCATATCATGCACAGACAATAACCAAATAGAAATGATGAAATATTCTAATGCATCAGGAAGAATTCTAGCTCTTCAAAAAGTCTCGTCTAGAAACCCACATCAGTGACACCACACAGCTTTCTATCATGTGACAGGTGTTCCTCCCTCTTTCTTTCTTTCCTTCTCTCACACACAGTTTACACAACGTTAACTCATGAAATGAAGATAAATCACTGTACCTTTAGTGCGGTCTGAGTGTTTAAATCCAAGACACAGACACCGAGCCTCCTGCTGAATTGTATGAGTGCTGAGCTTAGTTTAGTCTTACTGAGAAGGACGTCCTACCTTCTTGAGACGTGCCGAAACGAGAAAAACAAGTCTGACTTTCCTTTCGCAGGCAATCTGTGCTGCTTTCACTCTCCTCTGCCTCTCTGATGCACACACTCTCCCTCCCTCCCTCCCTCCCTGCCTGCCATTCTTTCTCTGCATCTCTATGAGCCGCTCCTTCCTTATGAGAGGCATTTCAATCAACAATTGCCTGTGGCTTTCTGCCATGGGCTTAATGCGATGTGCAACAGATGCCATTCCAAAGTGTAACGCAGCCTTCCTCAGGCTCCCCACCTCCACTAATTCAGTGACATCAAGTTTCGCCTGAGACTATGATACCAGAGTCGAAGCCAAGAAAAGGCTCACAGGTTAAAAAATAAATAAATGAAAATGGGATGAAAAGTTCAATTGACACATGACACAAAGAAAAAGAAACTAGATTCAAATGCATTTTTAATGATGCATTCAATTCTAAAAATAATTTGACAGCAAATAGCCCACTTTCTGGTTGTTCTTTTAAAATGCTCTCATTGCCCAAAAGAAACTAAAAGACAGAGTTTGTTGTTCAGTCTTTAATAAGCTGCTATAGAACATGTCAAATATTATGTGGAAACTAAACAGGATTTAACTGTGAAAAGGAAATCTATAGTTTATGGAAATTTTGGTAGTTAGACAGCGTGAAATTAAATCACTGGAATATTATATCAGCATCTCTCACAGTTCTTAGAAACAGTGAACTAAGTATGAGCTCTGACTGAACCAAAACTTCATCAGTTTTCCTGGTAAACATCCACACCCACACTGAATGCTTCTTTACCAAGTTTCAGGATCCCGATGATGGTTTTTAACAAGAAAAAAATGAAAGACAATCAACACTAAGAGCAAAAACAGTTCCTCCATGTTGATTCTAAGCACAAAGTTAAACAGTGATCCTCAGAGCTTCAGTAAAACAAGGAAGTAGACTTCTCTTAGAGGTTCCTGAAGACATTTCACCTCTCATCCCCCAAAAAAGAGAAGTGAAGCAGTGAAGAAGCTCTTAGCCTCAGCGTGACCTGGAAGACTGAGAACTTGCACAGACTTCAACAGAGAGCTTTTATGCTGGGGAGTAGTGACACCAGCTGGTCATTATGATCAGGTTTTGTCTGCTCCTGCAGTTTTCCTCATGTTTGACTTGACTGTTGCACAAATTGTAAATACTAGAGATGTTCAAACTACAAATCAAAGTGTGCAAAGTGTGTAGATTCACCTTTTAGCACGTTGCTCCTAAAAGCCTCTGACAAATTTATCAACTTCACAAATACGCCCTTTAAATGTAATATATTAAATGATTAAATTCAAGTTTATTTCTTTTAACATACTTATAAAGCCCATGTATATCATTGCAGTCTTGAGTTCCCAATGACTCCTACAGCTCTTCATTTTCTATGATGGAATTATTGAAACACTCTTTGTCAAAGAAAAAAAAAAAAAAAGAAAAACAATCATGCATTTTGGGTCTTTCAGAGATTTATTGGAGGTCTTCTGGAAATATGACAAAATCTGCTGGGTCAAAAATATAAATACAGCAACGTGAATGATCTGTTTTGGTGATGAAGACAGCTGTGTTAATCAAATAGTTTTAGACTACAGCTGCTGGCTCTTCTGAGACAGTTTAATTAGGGTCCATTTGATCCACTGATCAGACTCAACCACAAACACTGCAGTGGGAAAGCTTTAGAGGCTCTGCACTGGTCTGATGAAGCAAATCATTTATTTGAACAAGTCAGGAAAGTCACTTGGAGCCATGTCAAAGCAGCTACAGATCCCAAAATAAACTGTGCAAACAGTGATTTCTAAATATAAAGTTCATGGCACAGTTACCGTAATGATCATGAAGAAACCACAAACTATCGGCTGCTGCTGAGAGATGATTGGTCAGGATGGTCAAGAATCAACCAAGAATCACCAAAAAGCAGATCTGCAATGAATTAGAACCAACTGGAACACAGCTGTTAGTGTCCACAGTGTTTTACATCAACATGAGCTGAGTAACTGATGAAGAAGGAAGTTCCTCCTCTAGAAGCAGAACCTTAAAGCTCCACTGAAGTCTGCTGCTGATCATATGGACAAAGAAAAGGCCTTCTGGAGGAAAGTTCTGTGGTCAGATGGAACAAA